ATCGATGGATTAATGAGTCGATAATAGCCCTTATTATCGCAAGTATTGCTTGATTACAATTTAGAACTATTTCTGATATTCTTTTTGCTGAATTCTGTTCTTTTTGATGATTTATTTCAGGGTTTGGGTACTGGATTCATTGTTTTGTTGGTTTCTAAAGGAAAATATTCGCAGATTATGGAATTTGACGAAAAACTCTTCTTTATATATCTTCTACCACCTATTATCTTTAATGCTGGATAAGCAATAAGTTACTCGCAGTTGGTTTAAACTAAATGTAATAGAAATAATTACTGCCATATTGAAGATCACGATTTTTCTTGTTCGAGCTGGAATCCGAAGTTTATGAATCGTTCTTACCAGGTTCAAGATGAAAAAGAAACAATTTTTCACGAACTTCACAACTATTATGTTGTTCGGTGCAGTTGGTACAATGATATCTTTCTGCTTCATATCATTCGGTATGCTTTGATTATTTATTACTACATTACGATAGATCAACATTATGCACATATTTTCTTATTGTCCCCTTGGCTTCGCCCCTGCTTGTATAGTTGTCAACACGATGCTAACTCTTAGATTTTCTCAGGTGCTAAAAGATTATTCGAGATGATGAAGATTGGCAACTTTGAGCTTCGGGATTATCTTGGTATTCTCATCCTTCCCTTGTCGTTGTTTGACGTTGGCATTGTCAAATTTTAATATGTTTTCGGTATTTTGTGTAGCTATTGGATCAATCATGTCGGCTACAGATTCAATATGCACCTTGCAGTTATGGATCTCTCTCTTATGCGCGCAAATTTTTCCTCGTCTCCAAAAAAGGGAAGTAAGAGTCGAGGAGAAACTGAAGTTTTCCTCTGATTTGCAGGTTCTTAATCAGGACGAGACACCTTTACTCTATAGTTTAGTCTTTGGGGAAGGTGTGGTGAATGATGCCGCATCAATAGTACTTTTTAATGCAATTCAGAAATTCGACGTCTCAAATATCGACTCAAGAATTGCCTTACAATTTATCGGAAATTTCCTTTACTTATTTGCGACGAGCACTCTACTAGGAGTTTTCGCAAGTCTTAATCTCCAACCTAAGTAATCTTACCTTCGCTAGCTTTAGTTCGATTAATTAGACCATAGTTTCACTTCTATGAATGCAGATGGGATTGCTGAGT